TATATATATATATATATATACATCCATGTAAAGCCAATATATCATAAAAGAATAAATTTATTATCTTACATAAATATGCTTTACTTAATCCACTCATATTTTAGACGCTAAGCTATTCGATACTTCTTTCGGTACAACGCAAATGCAAGATGACAACAAAATTTTCCATATTTTATTGGTCTCTATAAGATTTCACATGAAAGATGAAGATTCTTCGTGAAGCAGAAAAATTTTGCACCCCTGGGAACGATCAGCATCAACGAGATGTCCTTGCCATCGAGAGGCATTCCATTGAATACACGATCGAACGATAAATTAGCAATAATCCGTATTCTCCTCGTCGAGATCCTGGCTCAACAACCCCCTATGCAATAACGCTCGCGCGATGTTATACGCGACCCTGAAGATCGACGTATTAGGGCATAGCCGGGCGGATCCCAGTTGGAAAAAAGCATCTTGGTGTCTGGCGCTCTCTCGGGTGGAAAGTAAGCATCCGCGAAGCCGGATTCCGAAGATCACGACCTCGAAGGAACCACTCGCGTGACCAGTTCTCGTCGCGGTGGCCCATGATAGCGATTTCGCGAATTTCGTCGGCTTTGTGGGAAGAGGAAGAGGACGTAGGAGGACAGCATTAAGACGCCACAGGGCGTGGTTGCATGCGACCGCATGCGTATATAAACGTGTCCTGACATCGAGGATATACCGGTACGATCATCGATACGATCATCATGAAAAACGTATTCGTAAGTGCTCATCCGATTCCTCGTGTGGGAGGATCAAGAACGCGATATTCATTCTTATTTCAAGATTGTCTTAAGTAATGTCTTAAGATGCTAATACGCTCTGTAATTGGTTTACGACATCTTAAGACTATTCTGAAGATGGTCTTAAATATAAGAACTACATTAGAAAAAGAATCAGGCTGTATTAATCGGAATTCTGATTGAAAATGCATAAATTAGAATTTTCTAATTGAATCTATTATAATTCTAGAATTCTTGAGATAGTCAGAATAATCAGAATTCTGATTGCTGTAATTAGAATCTTTTGTTTTGTTTATTTTCAATCACACAAATTTTTCTCAGTATACCAATATGATGTATGAGTACCGGCTTACCGGGGGAAAGCCAGAAGTGAAAACACGCTTTTAAAATATGGTTTGTTGCAAAAGATTATGTTTATATTAAACATCTCAAATCTTAACTTCAAATCTTAGCTTCAAACACCTCTTAATTCTTCAAAAATTAACAATAAAAATTCTGCAGTCATGCAAAATATAATTAACCACTTGGCAGAATAATAAATTTTAAGAAAAGGGAAAAACAGTTAAGTATTATAATATTTCAGAATAAATTTTTTTTAATATTTATATTTAGGCGATATAAATATATTTCGAATTAATGTGAACCTGGCCTGAATATTAGCCAATGCTGCTGTTCGCTTTAGTGTGGAGAACAGTGATAAAACGTATAGTGGTTAAACTAAACTATATTTATATCACTTAATCTTTCAGAAAATTTTAAGATTTTTATATTTATTGTTAATTTTTGGAAAAAAGATTAAGGAATTAAAATTAGTGTTCGGATTTTTAAGATGGATACAAAGATTTTTTTGTAACAAATCGCATCTCACAAACGTTTTAACTTCTGATTCTTCCCTTGTTAAACTCAACAAACTTGACTTTACTTCTGCCTGCTCCAGAATTGATCCTTGGTTGAGTTTAACTACGTGTGTCGAAATTATCTTTACGAAAGATTATTCGGAACAAATCGTCAAGAATCAATCAAATAAAGAATCAATGTTTAATTTTTCTATTAACACATTCTATTTTCTTTGTCTGAAAAAAAGACAATAAATTTATATTTTTTATTTTATACAGTATAAAATTATAAGTTAAAAATTAAGTTAATTAAGTTAAAAATTATTTTTTTTTTAAATTTTTAAACACTTATATTTCACAAATGATTCTCTTGATACAACGGGAATTTAACTTAAATTATTCTCGCAAAGTAAATTGCTGATGCTTATTACACCGTAATATCATCCAGCGATACTAATCCGTAATTCTAAACATCTAACGTTTCTCATGTATCTACGACAGGTCTCACAAACCGCAAAGCAAAGTATATGAAACATATAAGTTGATCTCATTTTCAGCTTTTTATTTTCTACTGTTTGATAAGCACCGGTTTTGCTAAGCCGCCAGTGTTCCTAAACTATCAAGATAGCCTGGGCCAATACAGTTTCGGCTATAGCGCGCCAGGATCAGCCAGATCGGAGGTCAGAACATCCAATGGTGCGACCAGAGGCACTTACAGCTACGTCGACGGAACTGGTGTCATCCAGACTGCGCAATATTTCGCCGACAGCGAGAATGGATTTCAAGTAATCGCGACGAATCTCCCGCAGGCACCGCTTCCGGTCCAAGACACACCGGAAGTGATGGCTGCGCGCACTGCGCATCTTCAGGCTTTGGAACTGGCACTCAAGAGAGACGAAGAGGCTCAGCATCGTGAAGAGAATCGGGAGAATGCGCTCGAGAAGAAAATCGTGGGAGATCAAGGTGATGCGGATCTCTATAGAAAGTTAGGACAGTTGGGAGCTACGAAAATTGCATTGAACGAAGGGGAGCGAAAAGTGTTGGAGAACGCGAAGAATATCGAGCCGAAGGACAGCGACGAGACTCTGCAAGCAATTGCTTCGAAAAGCAGCATTGACAAAGCAAGCGAGAAGAGCATGCAAAAGGTATGTCAATTATGAAATGGCAAAGACAATAGGCTTACAAAAGATAGGCTTGTACTTATTCTCTGCAATTATATTGTGATGTTCGAAGAGCAAGAAAAAACATAAAGAAATTCTTGCAAATGTATTGAAATATAAATATTTTTTTAATTAATAATATTTTAATAATATTTTTGTTTGATAGAATACATTTGTAAAATATACGGAAAATTTTTCTTTTATTTTGGAATAAAATGAAATTATTAAAAATAAATTTGTTCCAATTTGATAACAGCTCTTATAGAGTTTGATTCGTTTTCGAAATACAATTCAGATATATGAGGCCTGTTCTTTTCAACTGAATCCTTTTTGCATAGTTCATCTGATCACATTGAAGAAAAAAGAGAAAAGATAAATAATGCAAGTTCAGTTAAAAAAAATAAACCTGTTTGTTGATTATCGAAATATAAAAAGCGTTTTTTAATACATTTTGCAAATGTATTCTATCATAAATGTAAATGTTGTTTAGTGAAAAATATTTATATTTTAATGTATTTTGTGTAATTTTTTATATATTTTCTGCTTTTGACATTACAATTCAAGATAGCAATAAGTAAACAAGAATTATAATAAACTTTTAAAGATAATTATTTAATTACACGTATTTTTTTAACAAAATGAAAAAATTATTAAAGCTGTATAAATTTTTTAATGTATATTTAAAAGTAATACAAGAAGTTTGGCGGCTATTTATAACTTGAATAAAAAATTATGTCAATAAGAAGTAGATATGTTTTTCAATAATAATTAAAATGAAATAAAATAATTTAAATTATCAAATTGCATTATCAAATATAAATATTGATCTTATTGAACATTTCGTACATACATATATAACATTCATTATACAGAACATATACATTTCCAATTTTAGTCACTTTTTGCAGAGATTATACACTTTTTAAAATACAATCTTAAATGACATTTTTAGTAGACTTTTCGGTCCTCGTAAAAATTTTACATATCTTTTAAATCGGATGGAATGCCCGAGATAGAAAATGTTTCAAAATATTCCGCTCCGAAAATTTTCATCGACATTTTTTTGTGACATGATCTGCAGGAATTCGTTGGAAGATTATCGCAGGAAATTATCGATGGCTCAAATATCCCAGCGATCCCAATAATCTACTCGCACGTGCCGCAATTTCAGGTGTCGAGACAACAGGCGGTGCCAATATTTCGGATCTCTTATGGAAACTATGATCTGGAGCCTTCCATCATATCGAAGTCATCGATCACTCAAGGTCATTATAATTGTAACTCACCTTACTGTTCACTCTCTCTTCTGTTCTGCTTATAAATATTAAGTCGCCATGGGCTATTTTCATTAAATACTTGAAGCTTTCTGCTCGATATAGTGCTCCACTATAATTCTATACACATCGTCGCGTTGATAGAAAAGATACACATCTCGAAATTAGCAACTTCTTAGTAGAACATTTTTATAATTCTGAATTGGAACAATTTTAATTATTTTAAGATAGCCTTAATTAGATAAAAATTTAAATTATTAAAACATTAATAATAAACTTAATCGTTAATCAGTTTAAATTGTCAACCATTTTAAATAACTTTCTATTATAAAGATATACTGAGAGACTTCAGTCACTTTTTTTAACATAGTGCTATTTCTTAAAATTATTTTATAATTTAAATTTTATTAATGATTTTTTTTTAATAGCGAAGAAAGATTATAATTAGCTGTATTTTTACTTTTTTCCTATCAAAAAAATATGATTTTTATCAAGATTGTTTTTATACTTTTTTCCACCGTTCTTTCGAAGGTCGTCCCATTTCCGGGACCGAAGACCGTCTTAAGGTCACTCCTCTCCCTCTGCGATTGCGACCGGTTCATAAACTCGTTCGTTGATACCATAAATTAGTTTTGGAACAAATCATACCGTACAAATTGCAGCAAATAATAAAGGGTAGAACTAGAAATAAGAGATCTTGTGAGAAAATCGTATAATAAAAATGGTTGTCTTGCCATTCTTCTCTGCAGGCGCTTCCGGTATAATCACACCAGCGGTAACGGCCTTGAAGAGTGCAACAGTGATTTCGACCAAAGAAGCAGAGACGCCGAAGAAAAAGCAACTGTCTCAACGTACGACTAGTACGACCGAACAAATTCGCACCGTCAATCCTTTGTCGATCGCACCGCTGAGCACGATTCCACTAAGTTTCTCGCAGTCGAGCATCGTCAGATACGTACCATCAACGCCTCTCCATTATGTCACATACAACGTTCTGTAGACATCTTAGAAATAGCCTGGAAATCCGATCCACAGAAAGCTAAAATTGCATTAATTGGAATTCTGACAAAATATAGACAATCGGAATTTTCTGATTAATTCTACCAGAATTCTGATTGATATATGATCAAAATCTTTTGATTCATTCATTTTCAATCAGAACTTTTTCTCACTGACTGGAACAAAAAGCTCGAATCGATCTGAAATAATTAAATTGGATTGGGGACTCTCTTTTTTTGCGTTTGTCAAGATATTTTTATTCTTCTTTACAAAATAATGCAGGATGCTGTCGGACAATACAACGGAGTAGTACACGTATACGATCGATACTAAGGATAAAGGACAATTAAAATCAGCATCGTCGTCGCCATCACCGCCATCGTCATGGAGATTGATATAGTGTGAGAAGTAATGTTAAGTGTATAAATGAGATATATTAAATAGTAAGACTTAAAGGAAAAAGATCTGACATAGCTCCTTACAGTCCTTACAGTCGAGTAACTGATGGGACAGCCTAATTAAGAATCAATGTAAAATGTCCAATAATAAAATCATGAAATTACTACATATAGCCATTGCCTACACGATAATCAGGATATGATAATCAGGACGAAGCGTACTTTCAACATTTTAATCGTGTTCAAGAGATATCAGACAGAACGCTTTGAACATGAACGGAAAATACCAATGTGGAAATTTTACTTAAACTTTGTCTCGTAATAGATCTTAGATCTTTTATTGAATTGTTCCCAAAAAAACGGAGGCTGGTGATTCGAAAAGGCAAACATTCGCAACGCAACACAACGTTACCTCGTTAGATGTACTCATTTTCAAAATTATATTAAGTTCGTAGAACTAAAGATTGAGATTCAGATTAGATTAGAATTTGACTAATCAAAGTTCACTAAATTTGAAATTGGACAAACTATAAGATCATAATAATGTCAATCAGAAATCTGATTATCTTAACTAGAATTATCATGAAGTCAACCAGAAAAATTCTGATTTGTTTATTTTCAAACAATTGAAATTAATCCAACTAGACTTTTTTTCAGTTTGGTTTTTCTTTTTTTTTTTATTAAATTCCAATCTCTCAAATTTCAATCTCTAGTTTTATATGAGATTTTTACGCTGGTCTACTTTACTGGCCTGAAATTTATTCCTAATTCTCTTTGCATCATGAAAAATTGCTACGGTCACAACCGTGCATTCTTTGTGGACAATTTAAGCTCAAGATGGATCGCGTTTTGCTGTACGATTTGTTATCAGAACGAATCTCAGCGTATTGCAGCAGTCTCATCCGAAATTAATTGACAGCTGATCGATTATAGCTTCGTCCGCTTCCCACGTACTTAAGCCACAACAACTGAAATCGCCGATAGGCGTAGATCGCAACGGTGATTCAAATAACGAAAGCGACAGGTTGTCGATAATAACATTGCCCGATAACATTTAATCGATAATAATTAACATCAACGATAATAATGACACAATAAAATTATATTAATTGAGACTTTTTTGTGTTTGAAGGAAAATTTATAACGATATAATTGATATTTGTGCCTCTCCACGTCCCACCGTTATTCATTTCTCTATACATAACATTCTCTTTTACATATATATTTATATATATATATAAATCTAAATTTTATAATATGTATTTATAATGTTCATATTTATATATAACACACTTGTCTAGACGTCAAACGCATTGACTTCGAAGCTCGGATGATCGATACCCTCCGATCCTCTTCTGTTTTTTTTTTTTTTTTAGTTACTGTCTATCTGTTCTTCAATCTGCGCGGTTTCTCCCTATTTTCCCTTCTCTACCTGATATATATTCTATGCTGCTACCAGTGACGGATAATTGCAGCGCGCGATGTACGGAACGTTGCATATACAGTTTACATTGTGCGAATGCTCCGAATATATTTATATATCCATTTAAATTAGAAGATACATCTCGAAGTACTGGCTTACACTTGGCGGATACGCGTTTGTACCTGTGAACGCTGCCTGTCGCGAATATCGAATAATCACAAACCCGTGGAAGCTGCGCGGGTGAGTAAAATTTGGCAGTCAAAAGTCGTTTGAGAAATACCCTGAAGAACCGATTTTTATTGACCCGCGCAGCTCCCAGCGGAGATCTCTCGCAGAGCGCGCGAATTCACGTCAATGCGAGCAAAATTATATCGAAAAAATAGAATATAGAATTTATACAGGCATGAACTACTGTACACGCGAACATTTCGTCGCGACGTTCGATACGCATAGTGCGCACCGAGCGCAGCAACAATCGGAATACCTCTTTGCAAAAGATAAAATATTTACTTAACATTACATGAGCAATATATGGAAAAACGATAGTTCAATTTCTCTAATTAAAATAATTCTCACACTTAATCATCTCTGCCATATTTCTCGATCGTCTTGATCTATATCGATCATTTGTTTCCTAAAAATGTTTTTTTTTTTTTTCAAAACCTCTTACTACATTTGTAATCTTAAATGGACCCAAGCATAAAAACAGGTCACAATAACATGAGGATAAAATAAATCATGGATTGAAAAATGATGTTTGTAATACTAACGATTTTTATAATAATCATTTTACAGCTATTTCGACGCCATTTTTTGATGTCATTAAGACTTTTACTTTTGGAGGAAATTGTCTTCCCTCTCATTTTGAGTGACATTGCCGAAAGAAATTTCGTGAATGGATCTCGAAAAAAAAAATCCCTCGTTAATTTCATCTTTCAACGATTCAAACGAAAGTTGCTTGCGATAAATAAATCCTTTAGATCTTATATCTTTTGCCGCTTAAAAATATGAAAAAGACACGGCGCAATCCCCTGCCAATGTCATGAAAATCGAATGCGTTATCTACGTGTTGTTCGCTTTTTCTCTTTCTAATTCGCGCGTGTGGCTGGTATATTTTTTTAAATGTCAACGAAAATCAAACTCGATCGGGCCGACGCGCTAATTCGGATTTCGTGGAAGATTTCACTTCGTGCGATCGTACCATCGCCGACGCATGGAAACAAAAGCAATCGATTTTTCGCGAAAGCTTTCGTGCGATACTTTGTTTTGTTGCAATTTGATTGTTTAATCATAATGTTTGAGATACTCGATCTCGAACGTAGTCTTGCGATTCTCATCCGGATGGAAAATGCGACGACGCGGCCTGTCGAAAATCCGAAAGTTTCTCTTGCGTCCTTTTTTTTGTATTATCATATTATTATATCTCTTTCTTGCGCTAGGCCTCATGAAAACTATTACCAACTTACCTGACACGATACGATAAAATTTATTACTTAATGTTCTCTCTATATATAGTTTGCTATTATCAATATTCCTTCTTTTCTTCTTCGCATAAATATGTATATGAGTATGATGTATGTGCCATTTTTTCTTGGTACACGTATAAGCACGTGTATGAATACTCAAATTTCTATAATTAGCTGAATGATCTCATCCTGACTTAATTATAATTGTGTATCGACGATTTCGATTGACTATGGTCGAAAGATGCGCACGTTTTTTATGAACAATTGACTCCGTACTCGTTTCTAAAAAGAACTTATAATCAGACATCGAAGAGCTCTCTCTCTCTCTCTCTTTCTTTTTCTCATTCTTCTTTTTACGCTGTCCGAAATAGTATTCTTCCTAATCTTCACGCCCAGATTTTCACTAAAATGCCTCGTCATTCGCACAGTCATACTTCCTGGAAAAAATTAGAGGGTTAATCGTGCATTGTACGAAGAAAGAATATACATGACTTACTTTCTTGCTGGCGCGACAAGCTTGAAAAAGAATTGGCGAGATGAGAGAAATTGGAAAATTTGTACGAGGAAATATTAGATCGATTTTAGAGAGACGATATCGACAATACAACAGACAACGACAATAATTATATAATATATTACAAGCGCGTCATTTGTTTTGACAGTATTCAATGAGATACTAATGGAAGTATTGTTGTCGTTCCCATTGTGTTCGACTTTCAAGAAATATTAGATTGTTGCATGTTGCGAATAGAGCAAAGTTTTTAATACTGTTTTATATGTATGAATGCATATGTTCGCAGTAAAATTCTAAAATACTAATAAGATAGTATCTCATAGTATAGAAAAAGAATAGTAAAAATTACAGGAATGGAAAAAGTATTATTGAAAACATGACATAAATATTAACTGATTCTATAAATGCAATTATACAGCATACGATGATATTATTAATTATAGATATACGTAATTTAATTTAATAAAATAATTAACCTGATTTTCTCAATTATTAATAATGTCATTAAAGTGTAAATACGATTTCTAGATTAACCTACAAAGCTATTTATAAAGTATATAGATTTTTCTTAAAAAGAATTATAATTTTTATATAAAACATATAATAGAGAAAAAATACTAAGTTTGATTTGTCATCTTGCCGTTCCTATTAAACGATTCGGTACAGTACTTATAAAGTCTATAGAATCTATAATTTACAATCTATAATCTATACGGAGAAACGAAAAAACATTTTGCTCTTCGCGTTTTATCCTTTTATCGCACAACATTATTTGCAGCGTACCGTTAAATTCACTAATATTATTCATTTAGAAGTAA